CTCTAGTTGTTTTTTTTTTTTAACGTTTATTTATTTTTGAGACACAGAGAGACAGAGCATGAACGGGGGAGGGGCAGAGAGAGAGAGGGAGACACAGAATCGGAAGCGGGCTCCAGGCTCTGAGCCATCAGCCCAGAGCCCGACGCGGGGCTCGAACTCATGGACCGCGAGATCGTGACCTGAGCTGAAGTCGGACGCTTAACTGACTGAGCCACTCAGGCGCCCCCCCAATGCTCTAGTTTTTAAAGGCACATTTTTTATGGGATTGAAAGTAATTTTAAAGCACATTAAGATTTAGGGGCAAAGTTCTGGGATTGACTTTCAATATCCACTGTGAACACGGGACAGGCTGGGAGTCCAGCATGATCCCCGGTGGGCCCTTTGGGTATTCATTCCTTGTGGGGCTGAAACTACACTAGACAGTGAGGATGGTCTGATGGTTCCGGGTGCCGTCCCCGTGGAAGGCTTCTCCTGAGCTGACCCGGGAGGCCCTCTCGCCATCCCTGGCCATCTCTGAAGCTCTCCCTTGGTGCTGCCACTGCCCATATCCCTGGTACTCTGGGCTCGGGGTGCCAAGTGCTCTCTGTGCCCATCCTCCAGGCGGGCAGGAGGTCTGCTTCTTAACTACCTCAGTCAGAGGCCTCTCCATTCCCACCTCTCCCAGCAGGTAGCCAGGTACCCTCCTCGCCTCTCCCCTATCAACCTCTCAGGTCTAAGCCTGTCCATTCCAGCCTGCAAACCTCTCTTAGATAGTTCTTTCTTTACTTACTGTTTTATTTTATTATTTTTATTAAAACATTTTAATGTTTATTAAAAAAACTTTTAAATGTTTATTTATTTTTGACAGAGAGAGAGAGAGAGCACAAGCAAGGGAGGGGCGGGGAGAGAGGAGGGAGACACAGAATCTGAAGCAGGCTCCAGGCTCTGAGCTGTCCGCACAGAGCCCAACACGGGGCTTGAACCCACGAACTGTGAGATCATGACCTGAACCAAAGTCGGATGCTCAACGACTGAGTCACCTAGGCGCCCCTCCTTTAGATTTTTCTTGACCTCAACCTCTACCCTAGTTCAGGGCCTCTTCTGCTCTCTCCTGCACTGGTCTCCCTACCCACCGTGCCTCTCCCCTACTGTAAGCCCGCCAAGGTTCCCAATTGCTGAGGGGAAATGAGTCAATCAGAGAAAGACAAATACCGTAAGATCTCACTCATATATGGAATTTACGAAACAAAACAGATAAAGCAAAAAGGAGACAAATGAAAAATTAGACTCTTAAATGTAGAGAACAAATTGGTGGTTACAGAGGGGAGGTGGGTGGGGGGAATGGGTGAAATAGGTGATGGGGATTAAGAGTATAGTTACTGTGACGAGCACTGCTGAATGTATAGAGTTGTTGAATCACTATTTGGACATCTGAAACTAATATGACACTGTATGTTAATTACAATGGAACTAAAGAAATAAAAATAAAAATAAGACAACTGCCCTCAGTATAAAGTCCAAACTATCTAGCACGGCCTGCACTGCCTTTCAAAATGAAAACTTACGGTGCATGTTTAGTACAGGCTTGGAGGCTAGCTGCTTTTGCTTCCTGGTCTGGCCTTGACTTAGCTCTCTAGCACTGTCCTTAGACCCCACTGCCTGCCACGGACTGTGTCATCCTGCTGTAGCTCCCAGAATGTGCCTGCTTTTGTTCACCACCCCGTCTGCCCATGCCGCCTTTTGCCCATAATGCCCACCCCTTTGCCCTTTGGCTGACTGCAGCTTAGAGCAGAACCCCACCTCCTCTAAGCGGCCTTCCCTGAGCCCCAGGCCAAGGCTACACTAGGTGCCCCATGGGCCCCCTGGGGCATCACCTGTCATGCTCATTCTCTTCTAACTCACTGCTCTTTGCTCTGTCTCTACCCTTTAACTCAGCTTCAGGAGCTTCAGCTTTTCCCTCTCTGTAACCACCAGAAGACCCTCACCACATTTGGCTCTAAAAGACAGTCTTTCCAAACCCCCAGGCTCCCATGTGCTCTTTGCTCAATATTCATACCTTCTGTGGTTCTGTTATGGCAAATAGAATAACACTTGGTCCTCTCTTCAAGATTCTACAAATGATTTTGTCCCCCTTTCCCAGTCCCCTCTGTCGTCTTTTGCCCTCTCCCTGTCCAGCCCCCTCGTCACACTCTGGACACCTACTCCCCATGTCGATCCAGGCCCAGCCAGAAAGCTCCAAGGCTCCATCCATCCTTGTGTGGCTTCCCACACCCCTCCCCCCATCACTTCTGGAGGCTGCTGTTCCTCTGCCTCACCTGTTACCTTCCCCCAATGGCTCTTGCCCATCTTCTCCACCTACCTTAAGAACCTCTCCCGGGAAGCATTCTTTCCCTGCCCAAGCATCTATTGGGAGTGCATGTGCACTGTCTGGTGAGGTGCTGTGGGCATGGCTAGACCCCCTCAAGGCCAGGAGAGCCTCCAGGGCAGGGACCAGGTCCTCCTGAACTTGAACCCTCCAAACCTATCACAAGCACGCTGCTCTTGCTGACCGACTCTGCCATTTTCTGGGGGAACTTTCAGCACCACAGCCATGGACAGAGACCCTTCCCATTAAATGCTTTCCATCCGGACCCAATCCCAGAGACTTTAGACATAATCTTTATCTGTCCTCCAAGTTGAGCAAGTATGAGACTCACAGGGACACCTCCCTGCTCCTTTTGTCCCAACCCTGACTCCTTCTTGCCTTCCCCACAATGTCCGTCATCTTCCCAGGGCAGTAGAGCCTAATGAGCCCAATTTTGGCACTTACTATCTCTGTGATCTTGGATAAGCTACTGAGACTCTCTGTGCCTCAGTTTCCACATATGTAAAATGGATGTACAACCATGGAATAGTACCTGGTGCATAGAAGATACTCAGTAAAGATTTCTTGAACGAATAAATGAAGCACTTAATGCATAATGCCTACCTCATCGGGGTTTCATGAAAATTAAATGATTTAATGCGTGTAAATGCATGTAGAGCCATGTCTGGCACACAGAAAACTCTCAGTGTTAGTTATCTGTGTCTTTCCTTTCAGTTCTGTCGAGGTCCTGGAGAGGCTGGAAGGGTCAGGATTACTGGTAAATTTCAGGGGTGGTTTTTGCTTGGACTGCAGGCCTAGAGGGGACACTCCAGGACAAGGTTCCAGGTCCTCTCTCTTCAGGGTCCCCTTCCCTGCCCTCCCCACCCCCAAATCCTACCCTCCAACGGCCGCTAGAGGGAGTCCTGGAAGTGGTCGAATTCCGTCTGCGGCGGGGAGGGTGCCAGGGTGGGACAAGTGGGGGGCGCGGGAAAGAGGCTAGGGCACCCAGGACTGACAAGGAGGAATCCGCCGCCCTCTGGCACGTCCCTTGGCGCGACGCCAGTCCAAGGGAGGGCCCGGACACCAAACTGGTTTGTGGGTCGCGATTAGAGACAGGTGATGATGAAAGCCGCGGAGCCGTCGGGGCGTGGCGCCTGGCCCGGAGCCGCAGGACCAGCTCGGGAGGAGGCAGCTGAGCGCGGGCCGGGACCTTGGGGGTTTCTCTCTGAGCCACTCGAGGGACCGCGGTGCCCGGGGCAGCCGCTACACATACACCTCAGACCACATGTCCAAGCAGCCCCAACCCCACAGCCCTTGACCCAGCCATCCTGGGTTTTGATTCTTCCTGGCCTCAGCACCCACTTTTGGCTGTGCGCCCCCAGACCGGCTAGGGTGGGACCCGCCTTGCTGATTTTTGTGTGCCCCCTATTCGCGGAAAGAAGGTGGGCAGCGGAACCTGGGTTGGGGTGCGGGATAGAGAAGGGTTGGTTCTCGGGTCGCCAGGGGTTGGCCTCCCCCTAGTCATCCCGCCCTCCCTCCCTTACCCCTACAGCCCCTAGTCCTTGAACCCGAAGCAGGTGTAAATGTCAAGGATGGGCACGCCCGGGAAGTCCCGCCGGCAGTCGAAGGGAGCTCCGGGGCCTGGCGCCGCCGCCGCCGGGAGCCTTACCTGAGGCCTGGGCTGGCATCGCCCCGGCTGACCGACTGCCGGCGCAGCGCGGATCTTCAGTCCAGGTGAGGCCCCCGGGCCCGCACCGATGCCCCCGACGCCCTCCCCTGCGGGACTGCGCAGCCGCTGCTCAGGCTCCGTGGCCCATCGATTTTTCTGTTGACTTTGGGGATCTCATTAATCCTTCGTTAATTACCCAGCCAGGGGCTCCCAGACGCTGCAGCCAATAGCGAGGCAGCTAGGCGGGCGGGCGGGGCCGGAGGCCGTGCGGGCTTAGGGCCTCAGGGTCAGAGGACCCGCGGCAGCCCGCCTCCGGGGTGGACTGGGGTGCACCGTCCTTAGGCCATTAGGCCTCGGCAAAGGCCCTGCGGGGCTCAGGCCACACTTTCCTACGGCAGCCAAGCAGACTGGACCCCCCCCCCCTCAGGTTTGGTGTCGCCTTTTCCTGTACCCCACCCAGCACCTGGTAGGGGTGCGGTCTTGCAGCAACCTCGCCACTCCACTCTGTCTCCCTAAGTCGAACGTGAACTTGGGGCAGAAGAGACCTCATTCCAACCCACAGGAGGCGGGTGGGGTGGGGGGCAGCCGCCCCCTCTGGCCCTCCTCACTCCTCCTGCAGCCTCTGAGACCTGCCCATCTCATTCTGCGGGCAGAGTCCGGGCGCGGCTTCCTCTTAAGCTCCCTGTGTTCTACGTGCTTCTGCCCCCACGCTCCCCACGCCCCAGCCCCCACCGCTGTCCACCGAAGTGGTCACCGAAGTGACCCTTCGGCCTCTCTAGCCGGTCCCCCTTCACCTCGCTGTGGCTGGACACTGAATCTTCCCCCTCTTCTAGCTGGCAGGGTCTTCTTTTCAATCTCTGTCTGCCTGACTTCCTCATGTTCTCATCCTGCTAAATCTACCTATGCCTTTCCTAGATTAGAAGCCCATGGAGTGGGAGTGGTGGGTAAGAGAAGGCCCCGTTGTAAGGTTCTGTGTCCCCTGACACCTTTTAAACTAGAACAGCCCTGTTTATGCTATAAACTTGGGTTCCTGAAATATTTTATTTGAGGAAAAAGAAGTTCTGCTGTTTGAAAATCATTATGCTTAGCGGAAAGGCTCTGTGACCTTGGGCAAGTCACTTTGCCTCTCTGGGCCTCTGTTACTTTCTTTGTAAAATGGTAGTTGACCAGGTCAGTCCTTCCTAACCTTTCATGCCTCACGGAACACATAAACAAATGTATTTGTCATTTGAGAATAAGGGGAAGAGGAAGATGGCAGCCTGGGTACCCCGTCCAGCCCCTCCCAGGCACCCAGGTACTGGTCTGTAGCCAGTCTATAACTCACACTTGGTTCACCCACTGAAAAGCTTGAGACTTGAGAATCTCCGGGGTTCCTTCCAGCTCTGACCCACAAGAGCCTCTCTGGCAATCAGCTCAGACAGGGAAGCTGAGACAAGAAGCGGGGGGCGGAGGGGCAAACTGCAGGTGGTTCCAGCTCCAGGCAGCAGTCCCGGCCAGGCCACAAGGCTGGGATTAGGGGTGGCACCAGAGCCACGGACACTTGCAGATCTTGCCTTGTCCTAGATACTATGGGGAGAGGTCTCCCTTCCCTGGTCACTCCATACCCCAGGGTCCTGCTGGGGTGGGTGGGTATGTCCTGACTATGATTTAAAAACTCATCCTGGAAAAATAACTTTTGTGAAAATTCTACCCTGGGGCCAGTGGGAATGGGTGGTAATGTGGCACAGTGACTGCCAGCCTGGGGTTCTCTCCTGGGGGTGGGGTGGGGTCTCTGAATAGACACACAAGCCAAGCCCCACCCCTGTGTGTCTCTCTTGGGGGCTTCAAGACAACACGTAGACCTCCAGCAGGCTGGAGACAGCGTGCATACGGTAGAAGATGCCGAAAGGCAGGCAGATGTTGACGATGGCTGCCCAGAGCGAGTAGCCATAGAAGTCCACTTCCACAGTGTTGCTGAAGTGAGGACGGGCTCCGAAGGCAGGCATGATCCACAGCTGTGCAGAGAGAGGGGCGCATCAGGACCTGGCCCGGCTGGCCTTGAGGGTCATTTCTGTGGGTTTTGCGGGGGCAAGGGTGTGGCAAGATGGGGGGTCCCAGCCCTCCAGTTTGTTGGACGGCAAGGGCTGGGTGTTGGTGAGTGGGGACCTTTGGAGTCTTGGGTAGGACCTGGCACTCACTTAAGCAGCTCAGGAAACGCAGCCAACTGAATTTGCCCACCCCCAGGCTGGGGCTCCCCCTGTGATCACATCCACCTTGTTATTATGGCTCATTTGTGAGATGCGGAGGTGGTGAAAATAGATGATGTGAGAATTTGGTACAAATGGCCAAATCAGCAGCTCTGCCCTGGAGAGATGTATGCCCGGTGTTGGTGGAACAAGACAGGCTCAGGGCGGGGGAGGGCGTATGTCAGGATCCACCCAGAAGTGTACCCCCCACCACCCTCCATGATCTCTGTTCTCCAGCTCCACCCCTTTCCCAGGTCTGGGAGGATGTGAAAGCTGGAATCATGCTTCCTCTCTGGCTGGAGCTCAGACGGTTGGGGTGTGGGGTATGAGGCAAAGAATGACGGCTTCTGGGCCAGCCCCACCCTCTTCAACCCCAGTTCACTGTGCTCTTGGACACACACAGCCCCTTTCTGAGCCTCTTCGGGTCATGTGAAATGAAGGGGTTGGAGACGATGTTCCTAGAGTTGACCCAGGAACAGATAACCTGGAGAAAAACAGCCTCCCAGAAGGTGGTTCTCAGCCTGCAGTTGGGACCTGGGGATGGAAGGTGAGGGCGGGGCCAGGCTGGGGGCGGGCTTCCAGGTTGGCCCAAGATACAAGGAGGTTTTGAGCCTTATTGCTTTCACTGGAGGGTCAAAGATTGGTGATCACTCTTTTCCTTCTTCTTCTTCTTCTTCTTCTTCTTTTTTTTTTTCTTTAACAGATTATCTGCTGGTTGGGAAGTATTCACAGTGGGGACACACTGAGAAAGCACCCAAGGCAAGCCTGTTGGTATATTTTCCATAGCGTGCACTGGTGTGGAATCACTCTAGAGATGTGCCCAACATCAGGATAGACCCACATTAAGGGTGTTTGTATATTAGGGATCTTATTCTGTTGGAGGTTGCAGCTGAGAGGGCCATTTTTATATCGAATGAAGCTTCAGAAGACGTGTTCTTTATGTGGGATGTGCTCACACAAGTACATGTTTACATATGAGAACTTTCCCTCCTGGGGATTAGATCCATACTGGAGTATTTCTCTATTAGGTTATAGCCACACAAGGGGTATTTCCTGATCGGGGTGTGCCTTCATGGAGAGTGTTTCTGCCCTGGAGTGGAGTTTCTCTTAGTAAGGGGTTTTGCTGAATTAGCAGGGAGGGGGCGCTGTTGTGAACACCCCCCCCTTCCAGGCCAGCCCACAGCTGCGCTCTGCTGAGACTGCTCACACTTATGCTGGTCTCTGCTACTTCCTGATGCTGCTCCAATTATCCTGAGAAACAGGCTGGTCACAAGTTCCCAGGAGAAGTCACACCTTCTACCTAGGGGTGAGGGCACCCCCACTCCACGTCACAGCTCCCTCTCACCTCCACCCAGCCCCCATGCCAGCATTTCCCGGGGCCCCTCCAGTTCCATCTGCAGCCCAGACACCAGAAGGCTGGGATTTCATTTTCCCTCTCTGCCCTGAGATGCTGTTTGCCTGGGGGCTGCATCTGACCCTCTCTGAACCTCTTTTTCTCCTAGAGAGCTTTAGTGTTTTCGAGTGGGCTGGGGGCAAGACAGAGAAGGCCGAGTGAATAAACCTGGAAGAACATCCTTCCTTGGCCTTCTCTTCCCCCCAGCCCATCCCCATCTCTCCACCCAACCCCGACCCTCAGTTACTCACGATGACATTGCAAAGCAGGAGAAACAGAGAAATGTCCTTCAGGCACCGGCGTCTCCAGTGTCCCCGGGGGGCCAAGATGATGGCCACTGCTTCCTGAGGGCCCTCTGGGCTGGGACCAACCAGCCTGGGGGTGGATGGGCAGGCAGGCAAGGTGTGGAGGGCATCCAGGTTGGCAAAGGTCAGGCCACGGCAGGGCTCCTTGGGGGTGGTATCACGAGGCTCAACCCCGGGTGGTCCCCGGTGGAGGCTCTCGATGATGAACACATTCTGGAAGGTGTGCTGGGCAATCATGAGCAGAGCATGGGCTAGGTTGAGCCCCCCGAGTAGGTCCCTGGGTGCGCCCACCACCACGGCTACAATAGAGTAGTAGGAAATAGCGTATTGACCCAGGGCGGCACCCATCAACAGCGCCACGTCCAGGGTTCGAGTGGGGTTCTTATGGTGATCCATGGCCCGGCGATCAAAACGGTAGATGACTGAGCCACTCAGGCTGACCAAGGTCATGAGGCCCAGACAGATGATGTTGAAGCTGTAATAGATGACCAGGGCCTGCTGGGTGCGGCCCCCCCCCCCACTCACTTGGACCTCGTAGATGATGAAGACGGCCAGCCCCACCACAAAGAGCATCAGGCCCAGGATTGGACCAGCGAAAAAGGTCTCCCGGAAGAGGCTGACCCGGGACGGGGTGTGGCCGTGGCCATGGGCGGAGGAGGCCAGCAGCCTGCCCACATTCTTCCACATGACATACAGCATGGTGGAAGCAAAGAGGCTGTACTCAATGTTAAAGGGATACAGGTAGAGGTAACCCTGCTGGAAGATCTGGCAGATGGCTGTGTGGCACGGACAGTCTCCTCCCACCGAGCTGCCTGCACGCTCCGCTGTGGAGAGAGGGGCACAGAGCTGGACTGCCCTCCCGCCTTCCTGGAGGCACCCCACCGGAAGAGCCTCACCTTTCGACTGTGACTTTTGTTAGGGTGGAATCACAGTTGGACCTGTTCACCACCTTATCCCAAACACCTGCACTGGGCCTGGCATGGTCATTCATTGTACCAGGTATTTATTGAGCGTCTACTATGTGCCAGAGATGTCAGTAAACAATAGTAGCTGGCGCTCGATGAACACACATCTGTACTGCAGAACTGCCCTTTGTCCTTTAGGCAAACATTTCCGATCCTTCCCGGCTAGTAATCACCCCTGGCTCCCCAGCATAGGAGAGTTCTGGTCCTGAGAGATGGTGGCCCTCCTGGGAACCCCGAAAGTTCAAGCTTCCTCGCAGCTCTCCCCAACATCCGACTCAGCCCAGAATGTGAGCTGCTTTGCCCGGGAGTCTCCTGTGACCTCCCCTCATTTTGGTTTGCAGCCCGTCTATAAGAACCTTGCCGTGTCCAGAGTGCACTTTATAGAATGCCTTGGATCTCGGCAAACATCCTTTTCAATCCCCAGAACTATGCCCACTGGTTTTGCAGGTGCAGAAACTGAGGCTCACGTAAGTAAAGTGTGGCTTGTGAGGGCAGAGCTATTGACCTACCTCCCAACCCCTGGGTAGATACCTTTCTAATGAGCCTCTCTGCACCCCTGGGGCCCCAGTATGTTAAGTTGGCCACCTCTCCGGGTTGTTTTAAACCATCCTCAGGAACTCTCTGTATGTGCAAGGTGGCCCTTTATCAGTCTTGCTGGGCTGGGCTCTCCTCTAGGCTTTCCGTTCCTGGACCCTTCCATCCTGTGTGTGTGTGTGTGTGTGTGTGTGTGTGTGCGCGCGCGTGCGCGTCTGTGTGCGTGTGTGTGTTCAGGCAAAGTCCAGATGGACCTAGTCATCTAGTCTGGTCCTGGTTGGTGGGAGACCCTACAGAAGTCGAGAGAACTAGGACCAGGGGGCCTATGGACTCTATTTTTCCTCGGTATAGCATATTGGTTCAAAGCAAAGATGATCTCAACACTAGTTCTCCAATTTCAAGCTCTGTGACCTTGGGTAAACTATTTAACCTTCTATGCCTTACTTTCTGTATCTGTAAAATGGGAATAATAATAGTGCCCATCTCATTGGGAAGTTGTGAGGGTTAAGTAAGACCAAGTGTCTAGGACACTTAGCACAGCACCTGACATACAGAGTCAGTAAAATGTCACTATTGTCGTGGTGATTATTCTTTCTAGCTTCTTCTTGACAGACTCTAGCCCATGCTTCTGCCATCAAGCCAACTCTGCCTCCCTTCCCTTCTCTCCACTTTGATCACCCTTGCCTTTTCATTCTGGAGCCCAAGTCTTTGGTGGAATGGAGACCCGAACCATGGGGCCAAGGCCACATCCTCCAGAATGAGAAGATGCCCCCTGACACCCTCCCTCAGGTGTCACCTACGCCTGTATGGAGCCTGGAGGAGGGGAGGCTCTCCTCGCTTGGGAGGGCAAGGGAGACTGACTGTCCTGGTGCACAAGCATCCAACCCAAGGCCTAGAAGTCCCAGACCAGGGTTAATCTGGAGTGAACACTCACGGTCAGGAGCGAAGCGGTGGTGGCTGGTGTTGCTGTGGGAACTGTCATAGGAGTGAGTCTGGTGCACGGACTCGTCCACCACGGCCGCCATCCAGATGGCCAGGTTGGTGGTGAGGGTGAACATGAGACCACACCTGTTTGGGGAGGGGGAGCAAAGAGGCCATTGGAATCTGGCCCCTCGTGGGTCCCTGGGGCAGATGGAGAACTGGGGAGCTAGACTAGGAGATGATGCCGGGAAGCAAGAAAGCGGTCAGGCCCCTGTGTGAACAGAGAAGTCGAGTTTGGAAGGCACTCTAAGTCTGGCCAGGATGCTACCCAAGAGAGGGCGTGGGGCGGGGAAGGGGTTCAGGGGCTCAGGCCACTGCTGCTCCCTCTTCTAGAGGAAAGCACATATAATTTACCACACAACCCATCCCACCAAAACACACAGGCACACACATATACACAATACACACAGCACAGGACAAAATGGTGGAAATCTTGCTGGTGAAGCAAAGGGGCCTTGGCTGAAACCACACCCAGGCGGCAGAAAGTGGACCCCATGCCCCAGGTTGGAAAGCCCTCATCTCTCAAGCCAGATGGGCATTGAGGTGTGGAGCAGGGACTCACCGGGTCAGATCCAGATGGACGTGAATACAGTCCTTAGCGGAGACCCAGAGAAAGTAAGTCTGTTGAGAGAGAGCGGGGTGGGGGGTGGGGGGAGGTCACTCACTCTGCAGATGGGCTAAACTCTGGAGTTCCCATGTCCAAACCCAGCAGAATGTTCTCTCTACCTCAAGAACCCCCCATACTAGCTTACCAAGTTTTAACAAAAGGAGTTGGGAGCTTTCTTTCTTTCTATGGAACAGTTTATATAAAATAGTTCTCGTGTTCTTTCAGTCTGCAAACTGTTACCTGTAAACTCTTGGCATTTTGGGGGTCAACATCCCCTGCCCCACCTCCATCCTTTCTTTCCTTGAAATGCTTGCTCTCACCTGGTTGCCAATAAATCCTCGTCATGGTATTTGTTGATGTGGGGGTATCTGTAATTTCATTTTACCCGAGTACCCTTCAAACCCATAAAATGTAAAAGAGTAAAACTATATAAGTACCAAAGTCATAAGTATGTTGAACTGTGGAAATCTGCACAGCAGGGGTGATGTTTCAGGAGATGGAACCCTACATGTGGTCATTCTGGTCATGATACAGGGCTGAGATCTATCTGATCTGGTCCCATGTAAGACCAGTCCTGCCTCAGCTCAATCATGAGACCTTTCAGTGTTATTTATGCAACAAATAAAAAAAAATATATATATACTTGAACTTGTTTGAACCCTATTTCCTGAACAAATAGAGAACATATGGGCAGTACCTGAGGCCAAACAGGCCATGCCCACAGCGAGACCCTGGGCTGAGAATGATGCCCTCTACCGGCACCCAGGGAGGGCAAGCCAGGTTCTAGGAGACATGGCAGCTGCCCCAACCCAGACATCCTAGATGTTGATATTGTCACTGCTTAGGTTGAAATGAAATCACAAGACCCCTAAGTAGGAGCTCACATTTGGATATTACTTCATTTCCAAGTGCTTCCGGATTTATGGACTCATAGGATACACACTACAGTCCTATCCCCACCTTATTTGATTGCTCAGGGTCGAAGAGGAGTGGAGATCTCCTGACCTCATGCCAGATGCTGGCTCCTTCCACCACACTCAGGAACACTCTTCCCACCCACCTGGACGATGACAAACACAGCCTGGGTGAGAGGGTGCAGGATCTTGATGGCTGACTGGCACTCAAAGAAACTGGAGTAGTAGCCAGTCTTGAAGACATCCATGACGAGAGTGCAGATCCCAAACAGCACCAGCCCGCCTGGGAGTGAGGGGTGGGGGATGGGTCAGAGGCAATGGTTTATAGATCTGGCGATGGATGGCTAGATGGGTGGTGGGTTGGATGGTTGGGTGGATGGAAGAATGAGTGGGGCAGGTGGGAGGATCAAGGGACAGATGAATGGGGTGGGTGAGGGGATGGATAGATGGCTGGCTGGCTGGGTGGATGGTTGGACGATGGATGGGTGGATGGTTGGACGATGGATGGATGGATGGATGGATGGATAAATGGATGGATGGAAAGATGAATGGGTGGATGGAAGGATGACTATAGGATCGAGTGAGTGGATGGATGGGTATCCTACTGAGCCGCTATCTCTTTGGGGTTGCACAGATTGGAGGAAGAAGGGCCCTATGTGGGGGTCTTTCAGCTACAGCTGGCGTTTGTTCTCTGCTGTCCATCAAAGGCTCTCCCATGACCACCCTCTTTCAATCTTTAGAAGAGGCGGAGAAATCCCCTCCCACCCCTCACTTCACTCTTCTTCCAAGATTCTTTCTCTTCCTCTTCTCTCACAACGGCAGCCCATCCATTCTCAGCCACATCTAGTCCCGGGGGGGGGGGGGGGGGGG